GGGGGGGGAGGGACGACACGTTCAAATTAATAATAAATCAGTGTGTTGTACGACGTGTACGAGTATTTTCTTGGTTGATTCGACGCGATAAAAGCGATTTAAAAAAAAAAAAAAAAAAAAAAGAAAACTTCGCTCGTCCTTGTTTTCCCCTTGCATTCCTCTGGATAACGTACGATACGACACAACGATACTGTACGATGCGATGCGACGCGATATATAATACAACAGAGACGATCTCAGGGAAAAATAAGACGAGACAAGACGAGAAGCAAGTGCGCGCGTCGAAACGCACACAGGGGGTATCGGTGGTATCGATTTTTGGGTGGATGGATGGATGGATGATGTCAAAGCCGGTCGAGCTCGAGGGATCGAGGACGGTCGACCGTGGGTTTCGTTGCTTTGGCGATCGATTCTTCTTGCTGGTTTCTCAAGGCTGCGAGGAAAGCGCCGAACGAGATGACGACACCGATCAAGCTGCACCATTGAAGTCCGGCCTCGACGGCGTTCACCAAGTAGTGACTGAGATAAAGCGCCTGGCGAATCGATTCCGGTAGGTCGTCTATCACGGTGTCGACCCAGATCAACGGTAGGATCGAGCCGTCCTCGAGATTGCCGGAGAACGGCATGCCAACCGCTTTTCGTACCTCCAGATTCAGCTGAAATCTCATTCTGGTGGCCACCGTGACGCCCAAATGCTGAGAACAGAAGCGTACGAGTTGTTGACGTAATTGAAATGATCGATTGCCCGCTCGCCTTCAACCGGTAAGATGAGTCGACAGTGGATGCCGACGGATAAGACACGGTCTGTTCGAAACAGCAGAAACACGCACGTACCGTGTGGAGGTCGACGTAGCTCTCGTGACGGTCCTGTCGAGGCGTTAATCCCTCGATCTTCTGGAACAGCGACTCGTCGCCGGAGTAAAAGTGAGGAAAGGAGACGATCAACGGCGTGCCGAATTTGCAGGCGGATATGTTGAACGTGCCGGCCGGAGGGCATATTCTGCTGACTGAATCGTACGATTCCTTCGGGCAAAAACACGAGTCTTTGTTGCTAGTCGACGTAAATACGTTGCTCGGTAATTTGTACCTACGTATCATTCGACTGATGAAGCGTGTTTCCTGCGAGACGACACTTTCGCCTTCGGATCGGCAGGGGTTAAATTCCTTTCGATCAGAGACGAGGGAAACGGGGCAACGT